GGAAGTGTTTGGGATTGTGATACATACTCTTTAAAAGTGCACTATTGGACTCATGCCAGCGCCGGGTAAGAAGCCGCCCCCTTATTTTATTATAAGTTGTCTTAATTCTGAAATGCACACGTCAATGGCCATATATACGAACCTATCGATGGATAGGTATATACATGACTGATTGAGAATTCGCATCCACAAATCTTCGATATTTTGACTCCGTGTGATCTTCTGTAACTATGACTTCGATATTTTGACTCCGTGTGATCTTCTGTAACTATGAATGAGAGTACATGTATCGATCCATAGCATTGCTTATAATTCATCTTTCGTATTAAATATGCTTGTTAAGTCCGAAAAATGGTCTTGGTATACCAAATTGTAACAGCGACATAATTTCAACAGCTATTATTACTTTTAACATGGTTACAGAAATCCGGACCAGTGATTCGTTCCTAATAGGCTGTTCTCGCCGATAAAAAGGGAGGGAGAATCGACATCCGATGGATTCGCGGCTTTGCACTGTGTATTTTCACGACTATTTGCTAATATCCGTGCAAACATACTCTCTGAAGAAGCTACAGTCATCCACTGCGACGAATTATAGATACTATGAAATTAATATTATTTTCGCAGGCCAGAGGTGCTTCATTCCAGCCAAATGAATAGCTGTTATACAGATGTATTGTACCTAACTTTTGTTCTTTTATTGATCGACGTATAATGGAAGATACAGAGCGATGGTCGATCGCTATATGCCCTGTGTAACACTGCGTATCGAACTGGTCGATATTTACACTATCTAAAAATGGCTTGAAAACGCCTAACCGGAATATCTTTTTTGTTTGTGAAGCAATGTCTGCCAAAGAAGTTTTGAGACCTTCTATCTGGGCCTTTTCAGCAGATGCAATCGCGCTTTTTTGCATATTGATCTGGTATGCTGCCGAGCTGATTACGTAGTTATGCACAATCGCTTGTCCCCTTTCTACTGCACCGTCTGTATCTTTTCCACGGTGCCATAGTATGTAATCTAGCAAGAACAGCAGCATGCTCTCTTCACAAAACTTTGTTTTCGCATATTCCAACAATTTTGCCCTCAATTTCTCGGCGAGAGCACCATTTGAGTTCAATATCTCCATCAACCCTGGCTGCGAATCGCTCGAACCGGACCGTGACATCATTGATGTTAAATCTCCATTTTGTTTCTCTGAAAGTGTAGACGTACTCATGAAAGCTACGCTGCTAGCATCTTTCATTTTCGTCACAGTCTTTTTCTTTTTATCACTGCTCTGTGCCAATTTATATGATTTCTTTAGAAGCGTTACTAGCGCATTATCTGGTGACGCACCAAACCTTTTCTTGCTACTGATTTCTGAGTAACTAGCTGGTATTTGGCCGTATCGATTACCTTCACCATATTCTTGTATGCTAGGCATAGTCCCTTGTAAACTACCCCTTTGAGACGTCATGTTGACGATTAAGTGTTATGTAAATATTGAATCAAGGTTGCGTGCCAGTTGATAATTGACGGGCGTCTGTCAAAGTGGTGGACTTTTAAAAGACCAATGTACTATTTTTAAGCCTTCTAAATAATAAATTTAGGAGGCTATTTTTATAAATAAATTTCTCTCTAGAGTAGTAGGTGCGATTGTCTAATGTACATACATATTTGGATTATTTTTTATAAAATTACAATATATATTATATAATACTTTGGTAATTGTCTTTTTTTGTAAAATAACAAACTAAATTTATACCATTTTTGTTTTTTAATGATATTTTTTAAAACTAATCTTTAGACTATCCGCAGATTCCACGCAAGGGTTCAAAGGGTTTGCTAAAAAATTCCTGCACCGGTCGAAATTTTCGATCAAGGTGAAATTGAAAAACCGTTTAGCAAATTATTTTGCGATTTTCAAAAACAATTGGGAAATTGGGTCCCCAATGCTCTGGATTTCATTTTTGGGATTTCGTGTGAGACTCTATGAGACCGCGAGGTGTGTTCTATTTCAATCGGCCTGGAGTATTTATGTGGAATTGATAGTTTTATGAACACGGAAAATTTTTTCGGGACTATTTTGAAAATCCTACACTGGTGAATTGGAAATTGAATTAATAATTTGATTATAAAACCAATGTAATTCCACAAACTATTTCTTTTCATTTCATTTCACAAATATTTATTTCCTTAATTTTATAAAACAAAACTATACATTGCTTTATTTTTGTTTTGTTTTAATTTAAAAAACTCTTTTTCTATTGCGCCGGTTTTTGTAGAAATATATCTTTAAAATTCGAACAAACACAAGGTCTCCCTCAGGCACTCAGTCTCTCTCTCAGTTTAGAGTGAGTGCCGTAGACTAGTAGAGACGTAGACTGTAGACTGTAGAGTCTCAACTCTCAAGATACAGGAGGACAGAGACTGGACTTCAGAGTTCAGGCACTGTATTTTAACGGGTTCGGATTTATGTTATTTATGTTCGGATTTATGATCGGATTTTCTCTACACCAATAAGTCGAGGCGAATTTTAAAAATTCAAAACAAAAGCAAGAAAAATCCCCCCCCCAAAAAAAATCCAAACACAATTCCGATCATAAATCCTGATAGAAATGCACCTCATGCCCAGGCTCAGCCACTACTAGAGTAGTAGCCGGGTCAGCCTGAGGCCATGGCCTGCCCACTGCCCTGGGACTTGGGAGTCTGGGATTGGGGCAACATTTGCGAAAGTAGTCCGTATTCCTATGGTAGAATGTGCTCGTTTTTTATCCTCTAGTTGACCTCTCAACGTTTGCAGAATCATACTTCACGTTTAATTTTTCTAGAGGCAAAGCATAATGCAATATTTCAAATTTACGTTCAACATGACTTTAAATAGTCCACGCCTCTCCACTATCAATATTGATAATTTACGTTCAACATTTTAAAAGTCCATGATCAATATTTTTCAACATTTTAGGCAAAGCCCACGATCTATTTTTCTTAACATAATAAACATTTTTATATCATTTTTATATATAAATACTTAACTCAGGCAAATACAGAATGCTCTTTCAGAAATAATATTTTACTTTTTTCTTCAATATGTAAATACATCATTCCCATGGACCCAGCCTGGCTTTTTAAAAAGTAATTTTCAAATTTACGCTTATATATATATATATATATATTCTTTTTTTTTAAATAAAAAATGGTTTGCATTTTTAATTTTTTTGCTATATAAACTATATTTAAATATAGTCAGCAACTCCGTCAGGGTGTATTTTCCGGACTACTAACCAGAGAAGACTAGTCTCGTGGCCATACATATTTAATTGTTTTGTACTTAATTGTTTTGTACTCAAGCTATGTAAGTCTCAATTGTGTCGTGGCTATCATCGTCTTCCACTTTATCTTTATCTTATTTATGTGCGGCTGTCCGCTTGTATTGGGTATATAATCTGTTATACAAGGATGGATCGAAGGCGACAATAATCTCATAGACCCTCAGTTGTCTTTTTAGGGGCCCTCCTATTGAATGGATGATTCAGTTTGCTTCACTCACATATGCTTTGACTTTAAAAATTATTCATGGTGTAAATTGTAACGTAGAGAGAACTAATCACTCACTGTTTAGCTTATCGGAAATCTATGTGTGTAAAAAAATACCGACCCATGCCAAAATTTTCCGGACTGCCATCAAGGTTAACTAGTTAATTTTGACTACATAATAGCCAGGAGATTTGACTGCAAAGTATTTATATATGTATATAGTAAATTATAAAAGTCCCTACATATTTATGTACTCCCTTCTGCGATTTTATTTTTGAAAGCTTTCCCAACTTCCCCCTGTGATCTAAAAAAATCAAGAAAAATACGCACAAGATCTGAAAATTAGACATTTCAGAAGGCTATGTCTGAACAAGCGCAGAAGACCACTAGTAGAGTGACTACTGACCTGCTGACTAGTCTCCAATATTTAAATATTTACTCTCTCTCTGCTCATTCATCAGTTGACATCAGTCACATGAGTCACAAGAAGTTCACAATAACAACAAAAACGGAAAACGTGAACGCTGAACACCGCCGCCACCGCGCCACCGCGCGGACAATTTTTTAAAATATGTATTTATTATTTTATATAAATTTGCGTCATACATCATACTGTTCATATTGACAAAGTTGTTGGTGTGTATTTTAGGACAAGTTACATGGTGATTTCTGAGCTATAGGGCTCTGGTAATACTCAAACAGTGGCGTCGAATAGTTGCTCTACCTTCGATACACAACTGAACTATTCTTATTAGGGTAGCGAGATAAACGAGGTCAGAATGGCTCATAGTACCTTATCAGTCAATGCCACTAGAGCTGCCATCGGCCGAAACCGTAGTTTCAGCAATCCAACCCCCTTCTCAATAACTTTATTGGGCTCTACACTGGAGACTATGTTGGAGCATGAGAGCCTTCAGACGGATTCCAACGGTGCGGGTGATCCTTGCCAAGATATAAATACACAGGCAGTTGCTAACGAGAATCAGCAGGCTGAAGACAAACCAACTGCAACAGAGACCACTGGTGACCATCGACAACCGCCCACACACGCACGCACAACCTCAAGTTCACCAGTACAGGAGCTTGAGGGAGACGTTGATGCAGCACCAGTAAATACAGACTCATTGTGTTCACAGCGAACGGAAGCAAATGTAAGGAGTGGTAGTACAAGCAGCTCCGTGCTTGGTGGAATTAATAGGAGGCGCAACAGTTTGGGGACCTTTAACTTCAAGAAATCTAAATTGAAAGTAGTTATGAACTACAAATTCACGCTCGATGTACACACACCGATTGTATATGATCATGGGTTGGTGACTGGATTTCTGAAAATAGTTGCGCTGGAGAACGGAATCATCGAGAAACTTTCAGTGTTGTTAGTGTGCACGCTGACTGTCAAGGTAATTCCTATACACACCTACACATACACATAATATATATATATATATACATAATAATATATTATATATATATATATATATATATATATATGATACTATAATAGTATACTATATATATATATATATATA